GAGAGAGAGAGAGAGAGAGAGAGAGAGAGAGAGAGAGAGAGAGAGAGTTAGCCAACATAACCCCGCACGCTGCCGATATGGCGGATCGCCATCTGTTGTAAAACGTGCGAGATGGACAAAATTACCACTACATGCATCTTGCATGTGTTGTGTACGTGTGATATATGTGTGCGCACGTGTTGTATACGTGTGAATACGTGTAGCACGATACTATTATGTATGCGTGGTCGATGATGATAATGATGATGATAATGATGATAATGATGATAATGATGACGGGGACGTTTCTTAATAGAAATTTTTCATATTTCGACTTTGCATTTATATATCTCTGCTTACAAATCACGTAGAGCAGAAATAAAGACACTTTTATTATATAATTCGAACTCAATCTATCGATTAAGTCTAGTATAAACTCGATTGCTTCAGCCATTATTGAGGATTCGAAATATTATAAAGACTCAAATGTCCGACTCGCGTTAAGATACACGGTGTCTCCGCTACGCCCTTAACTGGTCGCGAGACACTACCGTGTCTCTTGATTAACGACTTGAGAGCGACTGCCAGCGACCCCGGGCGCGTCCCCTGCTCCGTTTTTATAGTATCGCTTTTTGGAAGTTCCTTGATCGGAATGGGTGCCTGGCAACGGGCCCCCTCGGTCAAGGACCTAGGTGCAAACGAAGTAAATTCTAAGTCCTTCCGCTTTGCTTGCACATTGGGCAATTTCGGTTCCGCGTGTATCTCGCAGCGTATGCATTTTTACGCGGTCAGTGTCCGTCGTCAAGCGGATGTAATATGAGTAGTTATTTCTTAATAGTTATATCTTTTAGGGATATAACAATATATATATATATATATATATATATATATATGTCATATGTAGTACACGAAATCTGCGTGGTTAATAAATCATTCATGAATAATTCTTTTTAAATTTACGATATTTTAAAATTAAAATTTCTTAACTTACATTTTTCAAATATTTTTAATCTCAGATATTATTTTATATAACGATATAAAACTGCAAGGTCACCAGACGATAATTAAAAAATAGTAAGAATTTAATCGACCATTCCTGGCAAAAAAGAAATTTTATTAAATTTCACAACGTTTCGGCCGTGAGTTTCGGCCCTTATCAAGTGCTGTAACATAACATTAACAATTATGAGTAAAGAAAAATTATAAAATATATAGAAACTTTCACACGTTAATACGCAAACATACCTATGTTCTTAAAACAAAGTAAATCACAACTTTCTTAAAAAACAAAAATTCGATCTTAGAATATGACATGATATAATAATATGATAGTATAAAAATGAAATAACTATGTTATTGTATCGATTTTAAGCTCCTTATATATTCAATATTTAGATCAAACTAAACGACCTTTATTAATTTCTCGTAAATATTATTTAGATTATCCGTGTCTCTTTGTAAATTAATTGTGTTGTCAAATTTTTTTATATAAAACATTTCCGCGATTTCTCGTTTACTAATGTATTTCTCATGATGTAAAATTTCTGGAGCAGACCAATCGAAATCATAACTATTATCCAATTTATGATTACTTATGACTGAATAATTACTATTGTGTACTTTAATATTATTAAAATGTTCTTTTATACGCGTACCTAATTGTCGTTTAGTTTGACCAATATATGATGAGGAACAATTTGCGCAATTAATTTTATATACTACTCCTGTTTTTTCTTTTAATGGAGGTTTTTTCTTTCTACTTAAAGGATCTTTGACGCGTCTAATTACGTATTTAATTTTTTCGGTATGCAATAAACACTTTGCATGCCAGTAAATTGTAACAATCTCGAAACATCCTCACTAAGTTCTTTGACATACGGTAATTGTATACAGTCAAATTTTGTACTATTTGAATTATTGTTATCCACAATACGATCGTCATTATTTCGTGTCATAAGCAAATTTAACATGTTATTCACAAATTTATTAATAATATTCGACGGAAAACAATTATTCGTCAATATCGATTTCACTTTAAAGATGTTTCTTTGATGAAAACAGTCGTCCGATAATAAAATTGCATGATCAACAAGAATAAAAATAGTATTCTTTTTGTATTTAAAAGAATGATTAGAATGATAATTAATATATCTACCCGAGCAAGTGGGTTTCATAAACCAATCAGTTAACAATATACCATTATGTCTAATCACAGTAGTGTTCAAAAAATTAATCGCGTTATCATTTTCAATTTTATGCGTAAATTTCAATCTCGGGTGATAATCATTAAAAGTTTCTATATATTTTATAATTTTTCTTTACCCATAATTGTTAATGTTATGTTACAGCACTTGATAAGGGCCGAAATCCACGGCCGAAACGTTGTGAAATTTAATAAAATTTCTTTTTTGCCAGAGTTGGTCGATTAAATCTTTATCATTTATTATTTTAAATGTTTCGAAAAACAATTTTTTGCGTAAAGTCTTTTAATATACTGCATGTTTAAGGAGAAATGGTCAGTATTCTAGGACATCATGAAAAGCAAGATGGTTTGTATAAACATATGTTTTGTGGGTGGTTAAAAAGATACAACGTATTCAGTTTTAGGAATAAATACATTCATTAACATTTATTAAAATCAAATGCTATGAAATAATTACATTAAATTAAGCTAACAATATATATATATATATATATATATATATTTGTATAAAGAATATTATATAATAAACAATAATTTCATGACAATCCTATTAACGATGATCAAGTTTTACTTCCCTTTTTTCATAAAATTCCCTCTTCTAATGGGACAGTTTGTACCACGATATTTTTAAAAAATAGATGCATTTTTCAACTGGCTATAGCACATTTTCTAATATAAAATTAATTGATTAAATTGTATGTTTATATTATTAATTCTTATAAATAATTTGGTATAAAACTCCTTTTAATAAAATATTTTTTCTTGCTTTAACTACTGCACAATACTCTTTATTTTTTATTCATCCATTTTTTCCTGATATTATTGTTTTACAGCAGCATTGTGCGGAAAATACTTGTCAGCATTTGATTTGGTACATAATGAGTACCCTCAAATCTATAAAAATAGCGATCTATTTCACTATTATCGATCTATTTTGGCATGGTTGAAGTTATATTATTTGAAATAAAAATGTAAATAAAAATAAATTTATAATAATTAAAATTAAGATAAAAAATAAATATTAAATAATAACGAAAATATATGTAATAACAAAATTAAAACAAAAGCCCATTAAAAATAGTTAAATATTTAAAAATGTATACAAAAATAATGATCTATATAATGAACAAAATTAAAAGAGAGTACGCAATAAAAAAAAATTATTATTGTCTACAGGAAAATTTGTAAAGTAAACAAATGTAATTTTAAATAAAACTTATCTAATGATATTTATACCTTCGCTCACATAACACAAATCACTATGTTCGGTCAAAATCTCGTAAGTTATTTGTCTACTTCTATAAGCAGAAATGCACAGGGTTTTCAACTCCAATCTACACATGAGCGTACATCCGTCGCAATCAGAGATTACATGTCCATCAGCATATCGGTGCCAAGTCAGTACCACTCCTATACAATTACTTTCGTGTCCAATGTAATATGTTTTATGTTTTACGATTATTCCTACTACATATATTTGACGTCCTTTGGTTTTGGACCAGTTGATTTATTAAAGCGAAGTTTAAACTAGAAAAAAATGTAAGATCAGGCTTTCATTGATTTTACTTGTCTCTCTTTTCTAAATGACTCTAATAATAAGATATATTGCAGCTGTTTAAATTATATGTAGATTATAATAATTTAGACATAATTGTATGTCGTAAGTGTGATAGAAAAAATTTATAAAAATTATATTTAATTATTATTATACTTTATACAAATATACGGTATGTGTATATTTCTGACATATTCTACGTCTTACCATGCGGTGTTCATAATCTTCTGAATCCATCTCAAAAAGTGTACTAAAGTAAACAGATAAATGCACTTATTTGTTTTAGGTAATATCACACCTAAAAAAAAAAGATAAAGCTTGAGCAAAAAGTAAATGTGAACAAAACATTAACTATAACTAAAAATAAATGAGAGATTATATATAATTCTATTTAGCAAATCTTTATATATATAAATTACGTGTCACGTTGTTTGTCCGCGATGGACTCCTAAACTACTTAACCGATTTCAATCAAATTTGCACACGGTGTGCACTTGGATCCAACTTGAAACATAGGATAGCTTACATCTCAATTTATAGTCGCAATATTATTTTATTGCAAATTATTTGTTTATTATTATATGACAGTCACAATTATCTGTTATCTCCACTGTTGTCACAGATGGCGATATCTGTTGACTGGATTGTCATTTACTATGTACTTTTCAAAGTAAATATTATTATATGACAGTCACAGTTATCTGTTATCTCCAAACGATTGTCACAGATGGCGATATCTGTTGACTGGATTGTCATTTACTATGTACTTTTCAAAGTAAATGACTTTCCTATTTTGTTTTGCGCGGTGACTTCGTGAACAAAGCACGTATACATCGACAAAAACGACACCAAGTTCGTGTTGTCAGTCCCGATTATTCCTCCGAAATAGTTGCTGTAAAATTCGTGGAAATTATTCCTGCTTTTTAATTGTTAGTGCCTCATTGTTCAAAACAAGATATACATGTAAGTATTATCACATAGTTGCTATGCATCAAATCACACTGTGTATGATATATGTATTTTTATGGTCATGAGGTATTTTATTCAACCTATATTAAAAATTATTTTGCACTCCTTATTTCAATGTGCTATAGTAGCATGTTTTACAGTTTTATTTTTAATATTTAAACGTTTAAATTTTTATTTAAAGTCGAATGCCACCGAAAAAATCGAACCTCAGCAACGCGCGGAGCAGAGAGGCACGACGCAAACGTGCTGAAAGAGCTCATCTGTCGACAGAATAAATCTCAACAAGGAATGCAGCTCAAAACATCAGGACAGCGGAGGGTCGTGCACAAGAATCTCAAGAACAGCGTGACGAACGTCTGCGACAGACTATTGCGAGAACAAGAGCGGCACGAGAACAAAACATAGCTACAGCACGAGCACAAGAACGACAGAGGCAGCGGACCAGCCGCTCATTAACACGTGCATCATTTGTTCGTCTTGCTTTCGAATATGCACCAAATATTAACTACTCTGCGCATTCAAAAATTGCTATCGGTGCAATGGATAAAGTATGTCAATATTGTCAGGCATTGAAATTTCAGAATGAAACACCCGGCATGTGCTGCGCATCAGGAAAAGTTGTGCTGTCATCTCTTCCTACTCCGCCGGAACCTTTATTATCCCTTCTTGCTGGCGATTCAGATGATTCAAAATTATTTTTGCGTAAGATACGCAAATTTAATTCTTGCTTCCAAATGACGTCATTTGGGGCAACTAAAATTTGCGATCTCGCATCCGATGGACGTAATTTTGAAACTACATTCAAAATACAAGGCCAGGTGTACCATAAAATCGGGTCATTGATGCCAATGCCTGATAATGATCCGAAATTTCTTCAAATTTATTTTATGGGCAATTGTGAAGAGCGCGTGACAACTCGGTGCCAGTATAATTTCATTGAACAAGCAGAGGAAAGAGCAATTGTGATATTGCTGGAAAATTTTTTAGAAGATCAGAATCAACTAATTCAATTGATTAAAAGAGTTTCGCCACGATTGCAAAATGACAACTATCAAATCGTCATAAAAGCCGACAAAGTCCCATTAGGTGAACATGCTGGCAGATTCAACGCTCCAACTCTTGATGAGGTTGCTGTTATTATGGTTGGTGATCCAGTTGACAAAAGAGCTATAAAAATTACACGGCGAGACAACACTGTTAGTACGATTTCGGATCTACACCGTTCATATGACGCACTGCAATATCCATTAATATTTTGGCAAGGACAGGATGAATATCACCTTAACATCAAACAGTGTGATCCAAATACCGGTAAATTTGACTATTAACTATTTATTTTCTTACTGTATGTACAATTTTTAATTTCTTATTTTATTTTATTTCTTATTTTTTTTTAGGTGCTCAAAGAGATAAAAAAGTTAGTTCAATGAACTACTACGCACACCGATTGATGATTAGACATAATCAGGACAACTACATCCATCGATATCGTCAGCTATTCCATCAATACATTGTTGATATGTATGCTAAGGTTGAAAGCGAACGCTTGCGATTCATTCGATACAACCAGACTAAATTACGATCGGAAGAATACATTCACTTACGAGATACTGTTGTTGGAAACATCGACGGAAATTTAAACCCCAATGACATCGGTAATGCTTTCATTTTACCTTCAAGCTACATCGGCAGTCCACGGAACATGCAGGAATACATACAAGATGCGATGACTTACGTACGTCATTACGGCCGACCAGATTTGTTTATAACATTCACATGCAATCCGAATTGGAAAGAGATACAAACTTTACTATTATCAGGACAAAAAGTAATTCATCGTCATGATATAACTGCACGTGTGTTCAAACAAAAATTGAAATCCTTAATTGATTTTATTGTTAAATATTCAGTTTTTGGTATCACACGTTGTTGGCTGTATTCGATTGAGTGGCAAAAGCGAGGTTTGCCTCATGCCCACATTTTAATTTGGCTTCAAGATAAAATCCGTCCAGAAGAAATTGATCAAATAATTTCAGCTGAAATTCCAGACCGATCAATTGATCAAGAATTATTTGATATTGTTACCAAACACATGATCCACGGGCCGTGCGGTGCTTTTAACATGACATTACCATGCATGGAAAATGGAAAATGTAAGAAAAATTTCCCAAAGCCGCATACGAATGACACTATCACGGATATTGACGGTTATCCAATGTATCGACGCAGAAATACTGAGAATGGTGGCCACACATTCACGATGCGACTGCCGAATTCTACAAATCAAGTAGAATTTGATAATCGGTGGGTGGTACCATACTCACCATTACTTTCAAAAACTTATGAGGCTCATATCAATGTCGAGCTTTGCAGTTCTGTAAAATCAATTAAGTACATTTGTAAATATGTAAATAAAGGCAGTGATTTGGCCATGTTTGGAGTACAAAATGTAAATGAAAATGACGAAATTACACGATACCAAATGGGTAGATACATCAGCAGCAACGAAGCTATTTGGCATATTCTTAGCTTTTCCATACACGAAAGAGACCCTGCTGTCCAGCATCTAGCAATACATCTTGAAAACGGTCAACGTGTATACTTCACTGAAGAAAATGTTCTCCAAAGAGCGCTTGAGGCTCCAAAAACGACACTAACTGAGTTTTTTACATTGTGTCAAAGATCTGACATTTTTGGCCAATTCGCAAAGACATTGATATATACTGATGTTCCACGTTATTTCACATGGAACAAATCTGGTAAAAAATGGGTGCCACGAAAACAAGGAAAACCACATCCTTCCGTTACAGGCATATTCAAAGCTAAGACATTGGGGCGACTTTACACGGTAAATCCAAAGCAACGTGAGTGCTTCTATTTACGTTTATTATTGGTGAATGTTCCCGGACCAACGTCTTTTGAATTTCTGCGAACAGTCAACGGCCGAGTATTCAATACATACCAAGATGCATGTCGTGAACTGCAATTGCTAGAAGACGATAACCATTGGGACTTAACGCTTGCTGATGCTGCGTTGACATCAACGCCCAATAACATTCGTCAGCTGTTTGCAATTATTTTGACGACATGTTATCCATCACAAGCACACACTTTGTGGGAAAAATATAAAAATTGTATGACAGAAGACATATTGCACCGAATTAGACAAACAGATCAATGCCAAAACATAGATTATACGCCTGAGATGTATAATGAAGCGTTAGTGTTGATCGAGGATTTATGTGTTTTAATTTCAAATTTACCACTTAATCATTATGGTATGCCATCACCTGCTCGCCCAGCCGCCGACTTAGTCAATACCGATTTACAACGAGAAAAACAATATGACCATCGTAATTTAGCAACAATTATCGTGAACAGTGAGCCATTACTGACAGCAGAACAAAAAATTATTTATCGGATTATGCTGGGTGTTGCTGCTGAACAAGACGGTTTTTTTTTCTTGGACGCACCAGGTGGAACCGGTAAGACATTTTTAATATCGTTGATTCTTGCCAAAATACGGTCACAACAGAAAATCGCATTGGCAGTCGCATCGTCTGGCATTGCGGCTACTTTGCTAGATGGTGGGCGAACGGCACATTCAACATTCAAGCTGCCATTGGACATTCATAATAAGCCAAACGCATTATGTAACATAAAAAAGAATAGTGGAATAGCTGCAGTGTTGCGGAAGAGTTCACTCATAATTTGGGATGAGTGCACAATGGCACACAAATATTCACTCGAGGCATTGCATAGAACTATGCAAGATTTAAAAGGCAATGATAAACTTTTCGGTGGTGCTATCTTACTATTATCTGGTGATTTCCGACAGACCTTACCGGTTATACCTCGCTCTACTTTCGCGGATGAGATTAATGCATGTTTAAAACAATCATTCTTATGGCGAAGTGTTGAAACACTTCGATTGACTATAAATATGCGCATACAATTGCAAAATGATCCATCAGCACAAATATTTTCCGAACAATTACTAGATATTGGGAACGGTAAAATAGAACTGCAACCAAATACGCAATGCATTAAACTGCCAGACAATTTCTGCACTGTTCTTCACGGAAAAAATGAATTGATTCAGAGTATTTTCCCGGATATACAGAGTAATTACTTGAATCATAACTGGCTCAGTGATCGGGCTATTTTGGCAGCCAAAAATGTTGATGTTGACGAAATTAACTTCCAGATACAACAGTTGTTACCAGGCGATCTGATGTCTTTTAAATCAATCGATACTGTTGTTGATGAAAATGAAAGTGTAAATTTTCCAATTGAATTTTTGAATTCACTGGATATACCTGGAATGCCACCACATAATCTTCGATTAAAGATTGGTTCACCTATCATTCTTTTGCGTAATTTGAATCCACCTCGATTATGCAACGGTACGCGTTTGGTCATCAAAAAAATCACCGGAAATATTCTTGAAGCAACCATTTTAACTGGAAAGTTTAAAGGAGAAGTGGTCCTGTTGCCACGTATTCCAATGATACCGTCAGATTCTACGATACCCTTCAGAAGGCTACAGTTTCCAATTCGTTTAGCTTTTGCCATGTCCATAAATAAGTCTCAAGGTCAAACAATGTCCATTTGTGGTTTAGATTTGGAAAATCCATGTTTTTCTCATGGGCAACTATATGTTGCATGTTCACGTGTAGAAAAACCGTCGAATCTATTTGTGTTAGCTAAAGACAGGTTAACCAAAAATATTGTGCACCGATTAGTGCTAAATTGAATTGAAAGTAAAAGTATTTATAATTCAAAATAATATATTTTATTGCTACAAATTTAAAACTATCTGCCCTACCTACCTCATTTATAAGTTTAAGTGTCACATGTTATTAAGTGTCACATGTTATTTACTAACAACTTTGTAATATACTCATTTGTTACAAACTTGAATAACAAAAATAATAAAATTTAAAATTAATTCTTTTGTATTGATTTCTACTTAATATCAACTGTACGAAAATTTTGACCAATCGTGTTCAAAGTCCTTCCTCTTCAAATCCCAATTCAGTCGATTTTTATACCAGCTTTAAGGTTTCCGTCTTCGTTCGTAAATATTAATTTCATTATATTAAGAAGTAACGGTAGTAGAAAATCAGTCATGGAGGTCACCATGTTTTTTTACAAATGGCATCTATGTAAAAAAGCATAGTGATCCTCATGACTGATGTTCTTCTAACTTTCTCCGTGAATAGTTTACTACGAGCAATGTAATATAATATGTAAAAATGAATTTGTTTATGTGTTCGGGCTTTATGCGTTCGCGCATCATTCAACTAATTGAGTTGAAACTTGGTACAGTTGTTGTTGGCACTTGCGTAAAGGTTTCTGACGTAGTACCAACAATGTATAATAGGGGGCGCGCGAGATGTCGATTGAATAATTCACTTCTAATCCGTAGGATCAATCACATTATTATCTCGAGCGAAGCCGAGACAGGGCATACTAGTATATATATAAAGCACATTTTATTGACTCATACTAAAGTTACAAGTGTATTAATTATTTTTAAAATTAATAAAAAAAAATATTAGTAATTGACAATCTTCACAACGCTATAAATTTAAACAAAACAGATTATAACTAAAAATAAATGAGAGTTTATATAATTTTATTTGGCAATAAATATATATATATATTATATATATATATATATATATATATATATATATATATATATATATATATATATATATATATATGTTATACCTAGATAGGAAAGCGTGCAGAAAAATTTTCGTATCATTTTAATTTTAAAATGTAATGTATATTATACTATACTATAACTATAAATTAAAATTCTGAAATCACTGATTCTAAATTTAATTATTGTATTATGCAGCGATCTTTGTGAAATTGATACCTAAAATAGATGCTACTATAATTGTAATACTTACAGGAAATATTTAGCACAATTATTGCTGAATATATTTTAGAAACTAATATTGTAATTATTACGAAAATTGCTACAGCATAAAATTGTACAATTATTATGACTCTTTCAGCATTGACAGAGTCATAATCTCCCCGAACGTGGTGTTAGCGTCGCTCTTTCTCTACTCGCTACTGTTACCGTTGCGTCACAGTATACATTGTGATTGCGCGTCCGTTCCAGTTTATTTGGGAAGGAAATAGCGACGAAGTAGTGTCATGACGAAGTAGTGTATTGTGCTTTCATGTATATAACCACACACATATATGGTGTGTAATCTTAGGCAATTAAAGATTGGGCGTCCAAACTGCAATGCAAGAATAATATTGTCTGTCGGCCACGAGGCCTTTATTGTTCTTGGCGGTGACGCATTTCGGAAAATAGTTTTGTGCAGAATATTAAAAATACGTTTAACGTGATAAAAAAGTTTATGTGTAAGGAACAAAGAATATATAATAATATATGTGTATATTACACAGCTTACCTGTCAAATAATATTAATAAAAACACTTATATACATGAAAACTGAAAGCACAATACACTACTTTGCCATGATCCTACTTCGTCGCTATTTCCAATGCACCTTTTTTTTTTAAAAATCAATTTTTTAAATTATTTTATAAATATTAAAAATTTTTCTCTAAATGCTGTATTAATTGAGACATTTAATGCTGCATTAATTGAGAAATTACTTTGTATAACGCAAAATATTTTGCTTTTACAACTTCTCAATGTTTGCAATTTATAATTGCAAAATTCTTTTTCAACAAAAAATATGCGTTTTGATGCATCACCTTGCAATAAGTATTTCGAAACTATTGTAATAGAAAGAAGCAATAATTATGCATTTATGCTGAAAGTTTCCTATCTGGGTATATATATATATATATATATATATATATATATATAAATGCATATTTTATTGACTTATTACGAGTTCATTAATTCTATTATTAAAATTAAGAAAATAATATATTAGTTTAGTTGACAACCTCCATATCGCTTATTCCATATAATGTTGCTATTGGAATGGGAACCAATAGCATATTCTTAAGGGGATGCCGGAGGTCTACTTTTACCAACCGAACCGATTATATTTTGCCACAATCGAGAAGTTTTTATTGCGTTAATAGAATAACAAATGCTTTTCCACGATTAATGTTAATACAATAATAAAAGAGGAAGCGGTCTAAATTTTTAATAAAAAGACAAAAAATTTTTAAATACGAGTTTTTTTTGGCTTCTCGCGTCACGTCATAACAATATTTGCTTGTATAAAAGTTTCACAATTTATATGTACAAAATAAGACTGCTTCCTCCAAAAGATTGCATAAAGGAATATTAGTGACCTTGCAGAAATAAGTTTAGAAGTCTAATAAAAAAGATCTCGGTTGTGGAATATTTCATTCACATGTGTATATGCGAAATGACATTTGAGAATAATACAGAGCAGAAAATTAGTTGTGCGATGTCGCGATAGATGGAGCTGCAATTGTGCAGTTAGACAAGGACAGACAGTCATATTATCTTCGTCTCTCTCATACATAGAATAATATAACGCAAAACGTTTGCCTCTTTGTCAACATAGAGTTTCCTTCAAGAAGACTGGATGAAAAGGTTAGTATATTTCTTTATATGCATGCATGTATAATATGTATGTATGTATGTATGTATGCGTATGTATGCGTATGTATGCGTAGAATATGTTTATAAAGAAATATATATATATATATATATATATATACATACCTATCAATTTATTTAGCTATCTGCCTGTCTATCTATCGAACTATCTATCTATCTATCTATCGATCAACCTATCTATCTATCTATCTATCGATCTATCTGTCTCTCTGTTGTCCTGTTTCTGTCTCTCTCTCTTCTCTGTTTTCTACATTGCATTCTTTCATACATGCACACGTATATATAATTTTTTTAAAATAATCTGCATTACATAAATAAAAATAATTAAATTTATAATCTAAAAATATATAAAAATCTTTTATGAATATAATTGATTATAAAGTTTTAGTGGATAATTTTTTGTAATAAATAAATGATTTATATGATTTATTCTTATCTAACTACTGCTCTGTTTTGATAATAATAGTATTATTATATTCAATCTCTAAAATATTTTTATATAAATCATTTATTTATTAGGATAAAGTTCCGAATAGGTGAACCCTCCGATTTTTTTGAAACTACACTATTTTTTGTATTTTTGAACGCTGATTACGAATATGATAATGAAAATTTGCGACTAGGTCATTTTCAAGGTCAAAACTCAAAAAAACTGACAAAAATATAACTTTTTAGACATTATTTTGATAAATATTAATGTAAGAAAAAAATGTTTCAAATAAAAGTTGTTGTTCTTGTAAAAATACATCATTTATGTCCTATAAATTTTTTGCGTAAAACTGATAGTTTTCGAAAAAAATTAGATAAGAAAAACCCTCTCAAACATTAATATATTCTTCGTTCTCAGCCGAACCCGGAGTCAATGACGAGGACGTGACGAAGAACTGACTCCATTTTTTTGTTTTTATAATTTTTATATTTTTTTATAATTTTTTTATAATTTTAATATTTTTTATAATTTTTTTTATATTTTTTGTATTTTTTTTACATTTTTAATTGTTTTTTTTAACGCTTTTTTATTTTTCAAAACTATTTATAAAACGCTAAATATATTACTCCTTTCCCGGATAACATCTTTTAATATCGATAATCAATTGCTTGAAAGGATCTTGACCCAATCGTCGAAGTCGACGACGCCACATAAATTCACACAAATGATCAGCGATAGAACTCTTTTGAACACCACCGCGAGATAATTCACGACGCATCCAGCGCCAGGACGACTCAATATTCTGAGTGTGAGCATCAGTTTCCGGATCTACAAAAAATTCAGAATGATTCACCGTCTTGTGGACATATCCATGATGTTCCAAATCTATATATCCCTTCCAACAATCCGTATGGATCTCAGTCCCAGGCATCACATGTTTTTTTATTAAAGCTACAAGAGTATCTTTGTCTCTCTTGTTGTCCGGGCAAATTTCGAGCCGATAATTAGTAGCATGTCCACGGTGAATCATTCCGAGAATCTATGATCCCTCAACAACACGTCCTCGTTCGTACTTCCGACGACCAATCTTACACTCGTCAATTTCTATGATTCCACCTCCCAAAAGACCCTCTTCCTGAAACTCCTCATCAAGTGCAGCCATGCAGACTTTTCGACAAAAAGAAAATCTATCGGCTACAGTTTCACGAGATATATACTGCCCATCAATAATACTGCTTTCTCGAATCGTTTGATTAAACGACATATTGACAGAAAAACAGTACGTTATGAGAATACATGCCGCAGGAGAAATATGACACCTCTCGAACCATGTATCCTCCGCAACAGTCGCAGTATGTCGATATTTTCCTTTTTTCATACAAAGGAATCTTCCGCATTCAAGATCAGATTCTAGCAAATTCATGTATTTTTTATGATGACTGCAGAACCTTTGTGTTGGAATCAAACCAACTTCTCTCAACCACTGAAGAGTTGATGAACGATTTTGAAAAATAGACGCCAATAAAAACAAATTGTATGTTTTATCCATTTTTTTCGTAACAAAAAAAATTAAAAGAAACAACCTTATTAATTAGGCTCCAAAACTTTTATTCGAAATTTACGCTTTGCATAAAAGTCGCAAAACTATATAAAACTGTCTATAATTATAAACCTAGTTTTGCATCCGAAGCACAGAACAATAAGAGGTAGACCTTACTTT